TGGTTAACCTGTCGTCCACCAGGACACCCAGGTCCCTCTCCGCAGAGCTGCTCTCCAGCAGGTCCACCCCAAGCCTGTACTGATGCATGGGGTTGTTCCTCCCCAGGTGCAGGACCCTGCATTTGCCTTTGTTGAACCTCATCAGGTTCCTCTCTGCCCAACTCTCCAGCCTGTCCAGGTCACGCTGAATGGCAGCACAGCCTTCCGGTGTGTCTACTACACCTCCCAGTTTGGTGTCATGAGCAAACTTGCTGAGGGTACATTCTAACTCTTCATCCAGGTCATTGATGAAGAAGTTAAACAAGGCCTTGCCGAGCACCCCAAAACTCCGCTGATGTGTTGGGCTGGGAGTCCTGAGGGTGCGGAGGGAGGAACTCTTGCTGCTAAGGCTTATCAGTGAAAACAGCACCAGAATTAAAGGGGCTGCCTTTCTCCCCAGCTGAGCTAAGGGGAAATCAGAACCACCTAAGAAGTGCAGAGCCTTGTTGCTCCAAGAGCTGGATACCCCACCATCACGGGCCACGCGCCGTTACTGGAAGGCGGCTGCTCCACGTGCAGGCTGCAGATGGGAAGAGTTGCACTCCGCTTTCTCTTCCATGCCCCTGGAGAAGTAGCTCTTGGGTCTCTCAATAAATACGCAAAGTTTTCAGACCTTGCTTTTCTTGAAAGCGACACACTCTGCATGTTTCTTCTCCTTTCTGTACAATAATTTTAATGATTTAGGAGGATAACCAACAGTGAACTTCAGGGGAGAGAACTGCCGGTGGTTACTGGCAGCGTAGAATATGGTGAACAGGCTGCCTCTTACCGACAGGGTGCCGCGCTGTACAACGTCAGTCTCTGCTGATAATCCTGAAATAGGCTCTGGCTATCGCACAAGACCTTTGGAATCACCAGCAGCCTTTCAAGATCACTTAGATTAGTGGGGAGTTTGTGGACAGTGAAGAATTTGAGTGCTGTGCATTCGTATTTGTGCCTCTCTTGGTCATCGATTCAAGTAATTTCAAGAGCTTATTCTAACTGCGGAGCAGAGGAGCGATGTGAAACGTGCCTGGCCAACCACGCAGAGTCTCAGTGCTTCAGCGTGCACCCACCGTGTGAGATAAGAGTATTGCCAAGACGGAAAATAGTTGGAGAGCCTCCTGCAGAAATACACCCTGTTAAGTCTCTTACCAAGGAATTTCAGAAGAGAAATAAAAGCTTCCGTGTAGGTCTCTTACAGGCTGTGTCCTCCTCGTTCTCCTCCCTGCTTGTTTGGAGCAGTGTTGCCAGGCAGAGATGAAAGTGGGAGAACCAAGCCCAGACTGGTCAGCTGCCAAGTGCTGGGGCCTCTGACTCAGAGCTTCGGCAGCTATAGGAGTAATTAAAATTCTCCCTCTGCTCACTTATATTCTTGTAAATCTTTTTTGTTGAATCTTTAAAACAGAGTAGGATGGCTGTATGGGAAATAAATACACTCAAGCCCTGAAAAAATACAGCGGCCGTCTTAGCTCAGCTAGTCAGCTAGACTTCTGCAAGGTTTTATTTTAGTTTAGTTTAGGGATAAGCCTTCTCCCACCTCCCATTATTTCAAACATTAAGCATTGATACATAGGACAGAAATGTGTCAACATGACGGACATCTCTTTTATTTGACCCTTAAGGCAGTGTTCATTAAGAGCAGCTGCACAGATGAGCCCGTGCCGTAGTCTGTCCAGGGACACGTCCTGGGCTGGCTCCGCGCGCTCTCTCTGGCCGTGCTGCCACCTCCACTGGAAGAGTGCTCCGGGCGCTGCCGTGACCCCGGAGGCAGTTACCAACAACGCGCAGAGCGTCCTCGGTGCTTTGCTCCTGCGTTCTGCATTCCCCCGTGTCCAGGCGGAGGTGTGAATGCCCACCCGTACCAGCGCTGCTTGAGGTGCCTTGAGGAAGGCCGGTGGGGAGGCAAGCTCGGTGTCACAGCACACGGGGGTGACCACCACCGTAAATGAAGAAAAGCTGGGCTGACTCCTCAGGCTGCTGGCATTGCTGCCAGCCACAGCCGGGTCCCAGGTTTGGTAACCTGCTCGGGGGTGAGCCAGCTTCAGTGGGGACTGGAGCTGCCTGGGAGATGGAGGGCTCCACACAGCTCTCCCAGGGTGGTGTTCTCCTGGCCGCTGTCACAGAAGGAGCGAAGGCACCCCGAGGCCCACGTTGCGTTCCGCCTGTCTGGCCCCTTTCACCGGCTCAGCGGTCCGCACTCGCGAGGCACCGCGGAGACACTTTGCCCGTCCCAAGGGCGCCGTCGTGCTGAGCTGATCCCCCACGCCGGTGAAGCATGCGTGTGTTTGCAGGGGTGAGGTGGTGTTGTGATCCTGCTGGATCCGATCAGCAGCGCGACCCCGCGTTACAGTTAGGTGCGTGTAGCATGCTAAGTAAAGAGTGCTTTGTGTGGATATTGTGGTAATGTTGGTGACCTGAGTGGTGAGAATTGCACAGAAGTTTTTTATTACTTCATAACGAGGGGGGAAATTTCTGTTCTTAAATTTCTGTTGTAAAAAAATGCCCGTAGTCAATGGAGTGTATTTGTGTTGTACCAGAGAATTGTTGCGCTGCTCGAACTGAACACCGGGGAGTTTGATTTTGGGTTGTTTCGGCGTGACCGTGTGCTGCAGTCCCGTGGGTCATCTGCCGCATCGAGAGAATGTAACAAACCACTTGTGGATTGAATTCTTCAGAGTTCATTTTCTTTGTCCTTCCCCAGATCCTTAGAATTTGCACAAGATACACGCCAGAACAAGACACCATGACCTTTTCAGATGGCCTTACCCTAAACCGAACTCAGATGCACAACGCCGGCTTCGGCCCGCTGACTGACCTCGTGTTCACGTTTGCCAACCAGCTCCTGCCTTTGGAAATGGATGACACGGAAACAGGTCTCCTCAGTGCCATCTGCCTCATCTGCGGAGGTACCCTACAGCCGGAGCTCGGAGGCGTGCAAAAAGGGCAGGCGCAGGAAGATCTTCCTTTATGTTTTACTTGGTTTGCTTTCCTGTACTAAAACATATCTATAATATAGATATGTATGTTATATAAACCACGTAAGGCTAAAGGTTTGCTTTCCAGTGGCGCTAAGTTATTGGTGTTTTAATACTGATACGTTTATAAACCCAAGTGAATCATTCTGTCAAGCAACCGATCCGACTGTTTGCCTGATAAAGGCCTGCAGGATAGATATACCCTGCTGCTTCTTTTTTATAAGCAATATATGGGTACCTGTATGAGGGACCTTTGTCAGGGCAAGATGCCCATTACACAACTTTTACTCAGAATTGTGTACCTATAGTTACATTCACATGGAAGTCGTTGGTGGTAACTTTCTG